TATTTTGAGTTAAGATCTATAGTTCTTCTTTATTTAAAAGTTTGTTCATTAATCCTCGCTCCATACCACACGAGAACGTAATTACCTCGTAACATGTTATTTATTAGAATATTTGTAATTTGTGATGAAGCCGGAGCGTTTGTTTGAAATGTCCCATGAAATTGACCAGCTATAAAACCCAAGAATTTCATTTAAAAAGTGATGAAAGGTGGGAGAGCATCCTGATATTGTTACAAACGAAGAAAATAAGCTTTTTCTCAATAGCGTTGTGCCAGAGGACACTGAAATGTCAACAACCCTTACAGCAAACGAATGGAACTCTATTCAAGCCCACGCATTGTTCTTAATCCGGCAAAAGCAGGCAAGGGAAGGCCAAGATGACCGGCGGGCAAGACGTGGCGAAAAACAGTCGAAAAAGAGCTTAGGGAACAAATACTGAGAAACCTGAATTGAGGCAGCCATATGTGCAGAGGATAGCGTGGCCGTGAGATCGAGTGAGAAGGAGTGGCCCTATTCTTCACAAGGAGAGGAAGGAACAATGATGATGACTGTATGTAACGACTTTTTCAATGTAAGGCCTGTTAACTGCCCGGCAGGCTACATCCTGTTGTAGAAAGAAAATAACAAATACAGAATTCATTCACAAAGAGTGGAAAACCCTAAAAATAATACCAGTTTTAGCCATACATCCAAAATACGCCTTAACTGAAACGGAAATTTATGGATCAGTGTGCCCTTAAAACTACAGAGTTAAGTACGTCATACATGCAATGGGACACGTAGGTAACAAGATGAGGATACTTTTAAGAAAATTCACGCATGAGTCAGTTGTAGGCTGAGCACGTATCACCCTACGATTCATATATAGTACGAAAATTCGAGACTGACTTCGCTCACCGCAAGCGCGCCTCTGGAATTTCCTTGTTAGTGTCTGAGCGGAGGATATACTCACTGTAAAAAAGAAAACTGGAGCTTTATTGGGCCTATTCTGGGAATAGATTCCACCTAACCTGTTAGGTTTTCGAAGTTCAGTCCTTAGAAGCAAACATGCATGGGGGAATTACCTTTGCACAAGAAGCCGATAAACCTTGGTAAACAATTCCTATTCTTGTCTAGGTTGATTTACAGGGTTAAATTTAGCGTGGCGTTTGCGACTCACGATTAGGAAGAGGTTAGCAAAGGGAGGGGATCCTGATCTCGTTTCACGCACGAATTTTTCGGACATTTCAAGTGTCACGTATACTGTAAACAGCATTTCAGAGAAATCTTGAGGTTTTCACGAATGAACGAAAACTAGTCATGTATATATTTCAGGAGGCAAATCAACCTCACACCGGTGCATAAATTCACGAATCACTCTCGTTTTTCAGTAAACTTCACGCGTCACGTATTAATTTTGCCCGCAACTCGCGTCACGTACAAGCCGTTTGCCTTTCTCAGGAAATAGTTTAAAGCGTGGAAACACAGACGGTGTACCGCTTTGAGGAAATGTATAAAATTGAGCAAACTTACCGAGAAGTTCAAATGAATGAAGTTAACCTCTCTGGATCAACACGACGTATCATCTACCATCGCTTCTTTGCCTCCACTTTATACCGAGTGATAATCTGAAGTAAGTTATCAGCTTAACTCTTATTTCATTTTAATCGTCTATAAAACTGATGACATCAACAACAAACGATAGCTGTATTTTGAGTGGAGTTATTGACCTCGATGGAATTTGTTATTTGAGTTTGCGAACATCTTATTATCATACCTTTGCAAACTGGCGTCGATGATGTTAAACTATTATTAATTTAGCTCGCGAAGAGTTCAAGTATCCCTTGACTAACCCTCATAACAAGACGATTAAACTGAATGCCAAATTTTCGATTAGTGGGACGGCACTTATCGCAGAATATTATCCGGGAGTTTATGATATTATCTAATGATAGCTGGCAAATTTAACTTGATGTTTTGAGGACTAGCAATCAGTCACGCGAACAACTGACTAAAACTGTTCTGACCTGTATTGATGGCTACTGCAACGTTACCGTGAGAATTTTACAATAAAAAAATAAATCTTGATATGTGAAATTGAATAGTACTTAAGAAACTACGATCTAGTGTGAATTTTAAGGTGTAACTTGAGATAAGAATTACGGCCTTACTGCGGTTATCAATTGAAATCGTGGTTCTCCTGTCCCTCGTGTCTTTTTGGTTGTCTTGTTCGGATTCAAAGCCGGACGAGATTTTTTTAGTACAAAAGGCAAAGTTTTCTAGTGTGCTACTTTCTTTGTTATCAGTAGACCTTTTTCTCCCGCTGTAAATAAATAACTCAAGGGATTTGAACCTCTATACGTTTTTATAAAACGTGCAGTACGACGAAGGCAGTATTATGTGCACAAAATGGAAATCTGTAATTTGCGAAATACAAATCTTTAATTTCGAAAGGAGAAATCCAGTGTAATTTGCGAGCAACAACTGCTTAAAAATGTTTTTACGAATAACCGGAGGAGTGATTAGAAGATGAACTGTCCGCTAGAATTTTCCTCTTTTCCTCTCTGTTGCATTTCAGTGATGCAGCCTCTAGTTTGCAGCCCATCAGTGAAATTTTCCATATGAAAATGTATGTGGTTACTCAGCTGGCGTTCAAGAAGATATATTGTCTTTTAAAAAATTGTCAACAATGCAGCTGGCTCATCGATTAGTGGTAGTTTTCTCAGGTATTCAACTGTTGGTGTCCTATGACAACGAAATCGTCTAAAGATCATTATTAGATTCACAGATTAGGGGGACTTTGCTGTCTGTGCTAAATGTGAAAAAAGAACATGTAGGAAAAAACCGTAGCCTTCGAAAATCTCACAATTTAGTTTTCCTGTGGGAAAAAAGTGTTTTTTACTTCGGGAACATACATACTATTTGAAATTTAATATTACGGGTGCTAGTAAGGTACATCTATTTAGTATTTATGTTAAAAGTCGATTTATAAATGAAAATTCGTGCTTCTCGTTTTAGAGAAACCAAAACTTGAAAAAAGGAAAAGTTCTTGGTTTGACACAAATAAGTCAAGATGAAACTGTATTAATCTTGACGAGCATCTAAAATCTCGTCTTTCCAAGTGGGACAAAACTAAAATGAAAAGAAACGTTTTATTTGTTTTTATAATATCAATGGAACTTCAGGTGTTTTTCCAATGTCATCAAAAGTTCGGCTGACAACAATATCTTCATCCCACCTCCTACACTTTATGGTCTGCAAAAAATTTCTTCGTAGGACTCTTGGAAAGTTGGACAATTTTTCTCCATTGAAGAACCTTTAATTGCCAAAAGCTCGAATAGAGGAGGTAGACATACAAATCCTGTTTAGTGTAAATATTAATTAATGGTCTTTACGATCTGTATTATTCAAGTCCAAACTTTTCTCCTCCGTAAGGGTGAGCTTAGTTAAGCTACATGAAACTTGCTTGATTTCTAAGAGCTGTTTGTAGAACTTTCAAGCTGGACAGTCTTTGATAAGGGTGCAGTTGTGGAACAAGTAGATTAATTAATAGAGTAATAGGAAAAATACCCCACTTTGATGACGCAGCGTTAAATTATTAATCTATGAAGACAACTAGAGCCGAAAATGTGCAGAATGGAACGGTTTAAAGCTAATGTAGTGAGAAGGTTCGCACACCAGTAGAGTTATATATCATCACCGGACACAAAC